ATGGGTTAGCATTTATTCTTATTTCATTTATTATAATTATTCATTTTTTGCCGTTGTATATAAAATTTCCATCTAAACTTTTGTATTATTTTGCAGTGGACACTGGTTGTTGGTTGCGATTAATCCGATAAAAGAAATAGTATATTATCTAGATTCGTTAGATGATGATCAAACAAAATGTCTAGATATGAAGAAGATGGTTGGTACGTAAGTGATGAGATTGTTATGAATATTTGTGTGTATATTTATTTATTATGTGAGATTGTTCTAAATATTCGTTTATATTATGTTAGATCGATACAAATATTTCGATCACATAGACAAGCTCGAGTACCAAAGAGTAAAGCAAACCACATTACATGGATCAGAGGGCAGGTATATATTTTCACAATTTTCATTATAATAGTGATGCTACTTGATAAAACAAGTTAAACTATATATACTGATATATATTCGTTATTTTTTTCTATGTGTAGTGTCCTCGTCAGCATAATGGTATAGATTATGGTTATTTTGTATTGAGGTTTATGAAGGAAACTCTTCATTTGGGTCAAATAGAGATTCCAAACACGGTATGGATTTATAAGTTAGAATTTATTTTAATATTTAGCTGATATTGCATCTAATATTAATTAGTTTTACCTAAATCATGCATATTATGTTATATTATGTAGTACTTTGATGAATTCGAGTGTGCTACTTACTCGAAAGATAAATTGGAAGAAATTAAGGAGGATTGATGTCAGTCAATACATTCTTGAGATGAAAATTATATAAGGTATATTGTATTTCTTTATTTCGTGTGAAGTTTATGGTCTTTAGAGATTTTTGTTGTTGTGATGTTCTGTACTACTAGATAGGAATAGTTCTGGAAGTTGTTGTATAGTTTTGCAAGTTGTTGTATGTATACTTCTAGAAGTTGTTGTGAGGGTTGATGAAACTTGTAATTATGTATAATGAATATTTAGAAGTTAAAGGTTTTGGAAGTTGATATGTTTTATTAGAATTATGGAGGTTTGTGTTAAATTATAATGGTTATGAGGTTTCTGTTGAATTAAGCAGGTTTATGTGTTGAATTATAATGGTTATGAGGTTTCTGTTGAATTAAGCAAGTTTATGTGTTGAATTATAATGGTTATGAGGTTTGTGTTGAATTATAATGGTATATATATATAAGGCTTATGTGTTGAAATAAAGTTGTGTTGAATTATTGGTTATAAACAGGTTTATGTGTTGAATTATAATGGTATATAACCTATGTGTTGAAATAAAGGCTTGTGTTGAATTATAATGGTTATAAGCAGGTTTATGTGTTGAATTATAAAGGTATATAAGGCCTATATGGTTTGTGGTTCCATTTTATAAGAAAAAATAAAACTTATGTCAACGCTTTTAACAAAAAACACTTCTTAAAAAAATGCACAATAGACAGTGCTTATAACAAAAAAACGCTTCTAAAAAAGTAATTTTTTTTTAAAAGTGCTTTTAAAAACATCCAATAACATGAATAAAATAAAGCGCTTTCTAAGAAAAATGTTGCCAGAAGTGGACCTAAGGCAACGCTTTTATAGAAAAACAATGTGTAAAACCTCAACAAAATATACATTAGAAAGTGCTTTCAAAAGCGCTGCCTAAAGGGGGAAAAAGAGAGTGCTTTTCATAAAAAGCGCTGCCTAAAGGTGACATTAGAGAGCGCTTTTATAAAGAAGTGTTGCCTAAAGGGGACATTTAGCAACGCTTTTGCCTTAAAAAAAGCGCTGCCTTTACCTACGACAGTGCCACTTTAGACAGCGCTTTTAAGTGCTGCTAAAGACCAAAAAAACGCTACTAAAGGTCTTTTATGGCATAGTGTTATCTAACCTTTTTACTTAGAAATTGTTTCATTTTGTTATTTGTCTTACTCTTGTGAATTCGATTTTCTTTAACTTCTCACGAGGTCTTACTACATGTATTTCCTTCCCTTTTTATATCTTTTTCATTTCATACTTGGTGGATGGTATTTCTTAGGGTTTGTGATGCTAGAAATAATATAGTTGAGTATGAAACCCACGAGAAGAGCTGAGAGTTATAGCGCCGTTGTGTTGGCAATTCGAGGCAAGCAGACAATAAAGTAAATTAGATATTTGTTGAAATAGAAATTTATAGGAGTTACAACAATAGTTTTAGTAGTTCATATATGTCATACCCCAAATTTGTCCTACCTGTATGATTTGCATCTGTACGTCCATCCACCAACCATTACTCATAAAATCCAAAAAAATATGTTCATCAGGCCAAGAATGAGTATTTACTAAAGGTTAGTCAGGTTTGACCTAATCTTGGTCAAATTGGTCATGTTGCATAATCAAGGTCAAAAGCATTGATTTAGTTGGAGTATGGATTAAGTAACCGGACAATGGTTGAGTTATTAGTACTTCATGGTTGGTAGTAATCAAGATATGGTTCATTCTTCAATCAGAGTTTTATGTAATGCTTTGGAGTCCATATTTTAATTCACGATTTTTTCCGATTTGAAAGCAGGATGCTTGATTAAGAAGGTTTATGGTGACAATTTTGGTTTGACATGATGCAAGAGGCAAGAGTTCAAGTCATATTTCGCAAATGGCTTTAAGGTTTTAAATTCTAAATTTCAAGATTGGTTCATGATTATTTATCAAGAGACTGATTCAGGACATTATGCAAATCCAAGAGTGGCTTCGAATATAAAACGTGGAGTTCATATGAAATTTGAGTTTTAGTCATCTTTGTCCGTAATTGAAGAATCCAAAGACCATTTTTAAAATCCAATGCTCAAAGCCCAATTGGTTTGTCAAAATCCACTCAAATTTCAAAAAGGCATGTATCAAAAAATATTAAAAGCCTTTGTCCATTACATTAGTAATTATGGAAATTACACTTGAAACAAAATATAAAAAATATCCCAACAGCTATTTCCAAAGCCTCATGCCAGCATGCACCGCTTTCCAAGAATCTTACTCCATGTTGGCGTGGGTTGCGGCGCGAAATGAACATCAATGAGTGCCTCATCTCAGACCATCATAGCTGCAATTTATTGCCTGCACACACCAATTGAAAAGTTTTCTCATGAAACCAATGTCAAATAAAATGACAAGATGGTCAACAAAGTCCAATAACTGTGATGAATTCCATGGCCCACACGGTCCAAGTATCATTTTCCATTAGAATGAGTTTCAAAAAATAAATAGTTACAGGAAGAGTTGGGAAGCATTGTAAGCTTGTACGGTCCCAATGCTAACAAACCGACTACAGAAGAACCAGCTAGTAAATTGCTCACTGCCGACAGAATATTGTTCACCTTCGACATATAGCTACCCACGCAGCTGGATCGTACACGAAACGCAGCAGGGTCACTAATTCTTGTCCCGCATAGATGGCACAGTATGAAAACCACAATTCACGCACAACACCATTACTCATAATAGTGGTTTCAGCATATTACACAAAGGTCCACAACAAACAAAAGAAAGGAAAGAATTTGCAAGTGCAGAGTAGGCTAGATGCCTCATGAGTCTCGTACGACATCAAAGCCACGACATGCAAAGCCCTTAATACTATTTTGGGCACATGAAGCAAAAGAACCGGAAACAGAAACGGATGAAAATACAGTAACATGACAACTGAATTGGTAGCGAGGATACATTACCACGTGACTCGCTGCATACATTCGGTATTCACGTGAGACAAGTCGCGGCGCACCAAAGGAAAATGCGTACGGAGAAATTCCAAATTCCACGCAACGCAAAACTGGACGAAACAGATCGAGAGTGAGAACCTTCTCAGTACCCCATGAGACCTCACAAAAAAAAACCTGCCAATACACACTCGCAGCCGGTACGACCATGACCCGCGGCATCAAACCTCATATACCACAAGGTAGACAACAGCCTGCGTGTTGTGAAAAGAAAATTCAGCAGCACGTGGAGACTGGTACGAAAGAAGCCGTTCATACCATAGCCACAACTCCAGCTGCAAGAAAAAAGAAGAAATGGGAAATAAGATTAGTAGAGTGGAAATATTTATTCGAGCATCTTCAGAATGAACAGCAAGAGGAATGTTGAATATACATGCTAAGACATTTCTGTCACACCAAAACTAATGACCTGAGAATCAAGATTCACGTGAGTAGTAGAGCGCGATCTTCTCAGGTGAAGGTTGTATCATTACTACCTGCCATTGTTGAGGCAAAAGGATTGAAATTAACAGAATACTTAGCCCCCAAAATAGTCAGAATTTGGAATATCACAAGATGAGGAAATGAGACAGTTGGATAAGTCTTGATTTGAATAAAACAAGTCTAAAAAGCTCACCGAAGTTTCCTTAGTTTTGCTGATAGTTTGGCTCCCATTCACTGCGTGATCAAATGGGCAGTCAAAATCTTTGAAGTATAGGCCATGTTACAGGAACAACGACATGAGCCTTGATGATTTAACCATAACTTTTGGGATAAGGCGAATCGGTGATAATAGTTTTGTCACCGGTAAATTAAATGCCAGCAGAGCAAAAAGAGCTATAGCACACCTCAGCAAGAGTACAACATGAGATAAGTTATTCTTTTGGCAGCAAAATGGTCGAAGCAGCCAAACTTCACAAGTTCAACGGTAAGAAACTAAGCTACTTCACACATATTTCAAGCCATACGCACCTACAAAAGAAAAGAAATAGAAAAGAAAATCACTGTCACGTTTCACAAAAACAAAAGGAAGTGCAAATAGGAGAAGACAATGAAATTTCGGAGTATGGTAATGAAAGAGGGACGCTATGCAAAATATGAGAGATGAGGGTTGCGTTGTTGTTTTTCCTTTGATTCTTGACTGGATCCGTGGCCGTGGCGATCGATTCCATCGGAGCTCATAAAATTGGATCATTAGATCGATGCTACCGCTTCTTTCTTGTATCTTCTAAAATCTGAATCGTGTTCGTCGTTCACGGTCTGATATACTGTGCTGCTACTGCATCTACAAAGCGTGCATTTAACTGTAATGGGATCGCCGACACCTAATTTTGATCTTTTCGATGTTTATTTTCGACGTGCCAATTTGGATCGAGATGGCCGCATCAGCGGTGCCAAGGCCGTCTCCTTCTTCCAAAGCTCCGGTTTGCCCAAGAACGTTCTTGCACAGATATGGGCATTTGCAAACCAAAATCAGAGTGGTTTCCTTGGTCGCGCAGAGTTCTACAATGCACTCAAACTTCTCACCGTTGCACAGAGCAAGCAGGAACTCACTCCTGAAATGTATTTCGAAGCTGCATTGTATGGCCCAGCCGTATCTAAGACTCCTGCTCCTCAAATCAATTTTAGTGCCACAGCTACACCTACACCGGCACAAAAGTCATTATATCAGTATAGAAAGATGAATTCCATGTGAATCATAGCTGCACCAAGGTCATTATCAAAAACAAACCAAGACAGAATCAATATCGCGACAAATACATGCATGGCATATAGCAGGCTTCACGCGTTGGACTTCACGCGGCAAACTCGTCATTTTCTGCACTCACCGCCAAAACAAAACCTGACATATAAACCTGCAACTCACAGAAACAAGGAGTATTGGTATCAGATAACAAACCTCAAACAATTTCACAAAAAGCAAAACCAACCGGTACGAGAAATAAAACGGCAGCACAAAATTGTTGATAGTTATCACTCTTCCTTTCCAATTGCAAGCTAAGATTTCACCATGTGAATTACTCCCAACATGCATTTAAGCCGTGGCATGAGTGCCGTTTCGACCTGTCACGTTTGTTCCAGCTGTTGAACCGCGACGGTAAAACGAAGAACAACATTATATCATGCCAAGCTCCAAGCGTCTGAGATAAGTAAAATGCGATGATAGCTGCGAGTATGTTGCTCACACCTTGCCTGCTTCACAAAAATTATCCATCAGACAGAGTAACAATAAAACTTGAACATTAATTACCACAGTAAAAAGCAGAAAGGGGGAGTTACCGCAGTGAAAATCAATTAAAAGTATTTACCTCACTACAGACAAAATAAGAGATTGAGTAAGGATCTTTTCTGAGGACCCTTCATTCCACACAGCACATCACTCCTTCCACTTTTACCCTTCTCCATATGGTATAAAGAGAAAACAAAAGTTATCAAGAAAAGGAACCCTAATCTGAGATTGAGCCTCCAAACCCTAGCCACAATGCCAGCCGCCCCAGCTCCCTCATCCATCTTCACCCTTCTCAACCTTTCAAAACTAACAAACTGCAACCAAATTTGCAAGCTGAGCAACCTAGAAATCACCATCAATTTCTCTTCAACACCCTTCTCAACCTTTCAAAACTAACAAACTGCAACCAAATTTGCAAGCTGAGCAACCTAGAAATCACCATCAATCTCTCTTCAGCACCATCAATCTCACCATTTTCACCATTATCAGTTTCATCTTCTCAGAACTTCAAACCGCCATCTTCGTAATTCACCATTTTCTCCAACTCAAGCTCATTAACTCAGAAATGTAAACTTAATCTTCTTTGAACTTCCTTTCTCCGACACTTCAACCATTTTCAACAAAGCTTCAAAACCCCTCGAACTTCTTCCATCTCTCAACCTTCATCCTATTTTTTGAAGCTTCCGAAATCGAAACACTACAACCGCATGAAAACTTTCAATCCACATCAAACCAGAAAACCCGTTCCAAATCCAACGAGCCTCAAACCGCCGAGCTTCAAACTGCCGTCCTTTAAACCCATATCAGAAAATTATTTCGAAACCCTCTCAGAAGATACCCAGAACACGCCGCCGTAACACATCAAGCATCAGTTTCGTCCGCCCTCCTTCAAACCGCGGACTCAGAAACCCAAACCCTTCACGATCAAAATAATCACAAATATCCTTAACCCAATCTTCTTCGGCAAACCCAAATAAATCCAAACCAGAAGCAGAAACAAGAGAGTGTGAGACGAACAATACAAGCGAAGTCACCCGAGCGAGATCGAGAGAGATACAGAGACTTGCGAAAGAGGTAGTAATGTTCTTGCCTCTATTTGGTTATGGTGTAGCGAGATGATGAAGAAGATGATTCTCCTGAGCTCGATACCATGATGTTGGCTTTTGTTTTTTTTTATTTTATTTGAACTTAGATTGTGTGAACCTGTTACTTCTTTTTCATGATTTTTTTTTATTTTTATTCATTTATTAAAGAAACAGATTCTTTTTGTTATGAATGTCCGGTGATGCTTTGGGCTAGCTAGCCCGTTTGGTTTTGTTTATTTAAATTACTGCATTTGAACTTAATGGGTTCATCTGGCCCGTTGTAATTTATACTTTCTCCACCCTCTGTCTTGTGTTGTGTTATGAATCAAGTAGATGATGAGCTTCATTTTGAAGTCCATATGATTCAACTACCCCGTTAAATCCTTGCCCTCCCCTTTCTTTATGTAATTTTATTAAGTTTTCACTACTAACTATTTTATTTTATTGGATTTTTTTGGGAGGGGTTTCGAATTTAGATTTGGTTTATTTTCGTTTTAGGGTCGATGACGAGACTTCCACCGTTTAACCGTCACATTAGTGGCGTGAAACAAAGGATCTGAGACCACCTTTGTTCTTTCGATTTCATTTCGGTAAACTAACTTTAAATTTAATTTCTGTCAAACATTATTCATATTATTTCATATTGTCATATTTATTCATATTATTTATTATCATATCTTATTATTCATATCTCACTCACCCATATTTAAAAACACTTAATAAATTATCGAAACTCCTAAAAGCCAAATTGGTGGACTGTTGTATCATTGGTTATTTGCAGGTATCTTGATTTTAAGTCGTGCCCGACTTTGCTCAAGGCGTAGTTTAGGACACAAATGCACACACACAGCTTTCTCTTGGGCTACCTGACAATGAGACCCCTTTATTTCGTGCAATCCCGTGTAACTTACATGTATCCCTCTCCCATTCCAATGTATGTTTCGCATTTCTTTGATTATTAGTTTATCTCCTAGGAGCACCCATAGGGACTAGAGCGGATTCAAACTATTTTCAAACTAATTCTCGATTCATCATGAGCCGCTTTCAAACTACCCGTAAGTCGAGTGCTCATACGCATTCGCCATCAACCTATTACAACTCGACCCTTGATGCGTAAGTCAAGTCGGTCTCTTTTTCAAACCATTTCATTTCCAACACGCTTTGCACGCGATAATAAGTCAAACCCTTGATCCAACGTCAAGTGGATTTTCGTAACAAATTATCAATCAATTAACAACTATTCAATTCTTTTCAAGGTGTAAAGAGTAGGTTCAAGTCTTTGATCTTGCTTTTAGTTGTTTATATGCGAGTTATCTTATTTGTGTGTGAGCAATTGACGCCTTTAAATAATATTAACAAACTCGATAATACTCGACCATCTCCAATTACTCACCCTTTCACTCACTTTTTTAAATAACTTCTTTTACGATGAAAAAGAGAGTGTCCCAAGTCTTTGGTTCACTCTCCCGACTACTTGGATTCGAGAAGCCTTTCTCAAGCTTCAAGTAGCCGTCATCCGACCAATCTCATCCTTTTATACACCATTTCAAATTCAAACAACCTTCTTTTACGATGAAAAAGAGAGTGTTCCAAGTCTTTGGCTCGCTTTCCCGATTACTTGGAGTCTGTGAAGTCTTTCTTAGGCTTCAAGTGATCGTCATCATTTCAACACCATTCGAACAGAATTGACTCCACGATGAAAAAGAGAGTGTTCCAAGTCTTTGGTTCGCTTTCCCGATTACTTGGGTCCGAGAAGTTTTTCTTAAGCTTCAAGTAATCGTCATCCGTACCCACTTTCAAACCAATTCAAACCCGTTTCTTTCGTGGTTGTAACCACGAACTACGAACGCTCTGATTCTTCATTCACTCTTGAATGTAAGATACGTAGGCACAAGATTGCGATGATCTTGGCGAGCACAATCCCATCCATCTTCCATTTTCCCTTTCCTTTCCTGTAGTCGAACTACGACGCTCTGATTTCTCATTCTCGTCCGAATGAGTATACGTAGGCACAAGGGCCCCAATCCTTGGTGAGCACCCTGTCCTCTAAACCATCCCCTTCCTTTAGTGTCTTTATCCTTTTATAGTATCCTTTAGCCTTTAGTAGCGAGAAGAGAAGAATTAAGTTTAGCTAACGTCCATTAACTCGAATTAAGAGGTTCCCGTCGAGTACGACGGACGTGAGGGGTGCTAATACCTTCCCCTCGCGTAACCGATTCCCGAACCCAGGAATATGGTTGCGACGGCCGTGTTCCTTCCGCGTTTATGAGGTTTTCTCGATATTTTCCTCTCCCGTTCATTCGGGAAAAATAAAGTTCGATGGCGACTCTGTCGAACTGCATTTCCGCGCCTTTTGCGCGAGGGTCGTGTTCTTGAATGAATTTTCGAGGTGCGACAGGTGGCGACTCTACTGGGGACTATTGCTCCATGCAAGAGAGAGTCGAGCCTATCTTAGTTTGAGTTGTTAGCTTGTTGTCTTTTATTTTTCTTCTCTCTTATTTATTGGTATCCTTATCTTGGTTACCTGTTCTTGAGGCATTGTGGGGTTGTTCTGCTTATGGGTATGTTGTGAGATGTCTCTACACCCGAGTCCGAGTATATCCCTAGGATTAGGATGGTGGTTGTGTAGTGGAGACTTGCGTGGAGTCTTTCATGTTAAGTTGAAGCGAAAACCCCGCTTGGAGTAGATTCCTTGGAGATGTTGTTGTTATGGTGAGTCTTCGCCATAACAATAATGTTTTCGAGTCTGAATCGTTGATCCCAAGGACCATTAACCGTTTTATCCATGGTGGTTGGTAGTGTTAATTCTTTGTGAATTAATACGAACGCCCCAATCAGATGAGATCCCTTGAACGTATTACTTTCTCACAGTAATATTTTCAACCTCGATCTATGACTCTGAGAACCTTTTCTAGAATCCGTGTGTCGATGGTTGTGTAGTTGATGCCCCCGAGAAGTCTTTCTCGCGTGGAAGATACGAGAACCTCACCTAGAGGAGATTCTATTGAGGATATTATCATCATGATGAGGCTTTGTCATGGCAGTAATATCTTTGAAAGATATCCATGACTCTAGGCACTTACCCGTTTTAGAATCCTACCCGTGGGGGGTTTCTTTGAGCAGTGACTGTGATCCTTGAACCGTTCACCCGGCTAATTCTCAGAATTGTTTGAATTTGTGATCCTGGATCTTGCATCTTGCACTGCATATCATTTGCATTGCATCTCATTTGTTGTGCATCTTGCATTCTCCTTCCTTCATCAGTTTCTCATGTTTCTCTTTCCTTCATATCCAGTAAATCAAGCTGAGTCCTCGACACCAGTACGCAACTAGAGCCAATACAAGACGAATGATGGAGCAGATTCAACAGGAGCAAGTTGC